TGCTGATAGAACTTTATGAATATGAGTGACTGTATCAAACAATTGAACCAAGGAAAAAATACCACATCAAAATTTTATCTGTTGTGTACTAAGTCAAGAATAAAATATAGCTTTACTAATGTTTAAAGTCAAGAGGGTCAAATTTAGCACTAGGATAAACAGTTACAACAAAACTATGGACAGCTATATTCAAACTTATTTTGGCCTTACACCTATTGTCTGGTTTTAATACACCAGCAAACTTATATGTCAAATTAGTGTCATAACAACTATTGTTTAAATCACATAGAAACAAAAACATGGAGGCAGAAATGGTTAGACAATCCTATGAACACAAACACAGGCAAATACCCATTTTAAGGCTTTCAAATGCTATTGCATCCTACCAGTTTTTCTACATTCAGATCTGTGTTGCAGAAAAGTTAAAACTCACCATAAGTAAAATATTCTATTTCTGGAGGAAGTGTGACCTCAGAGAGGTCACTCTCCTCAATGTAATTGTCCACATATTGCTGTGCTTTTGTGGTTTTAGAAGCCTTGCTGTGAAAGCGGCAATGAAAATGGACAGCATCCCAAAATCCAAAACATTCCATAACTGCAAAATATATTCCCTGGGTCCTTCCAGCCACAGCTCTTTGCATTCTGACCACATCATGCCTGCAACAAGAAATTAAAACACATAGCAATGCTGGCCAAACTCTTAATTTAAACCCTCTGCATTTTCCCATTTCATGACACCAGGTGGTACCAGTGGAGCAAAAATTCAATTTGCAGTGTCACAGAGTCATCATACACCTTGAGTAAGGCTCTCTTGGTTTCAGCAGGGTTGATCAAATGCCAAGATATTAACTGACATGTGGAGATGAAACTCAGCCATCTCCACACAGGGTAGCATAGAGCCACGACTTTGCAGTGAAAGTGTTACGGCCTAGCAACAGGACAGCATGCTGTGCTTCTGAAGAAGGAAAAATGTTAAACGTGGAAAAAGAGCTCCTCTCACTTCCTTACCATTTACATTCATTAAACACTTACGAATCAGAAAGAATTTTTACAGAGAAGCACAACTACCCAACTATACAGATGACCAAATACAAATGGCACAATTATAATACTAGGTCCCCACTTTATAAAATAAGATGCTTTTCGGAATAGAAAAGTGGAAAAAGTGGAATTTGGCTATGTGTAATTCAGTTTTCTTATTAAAACTTCTCAGAAATTAATTTTTGTGAAATTAATCCAGATCACAGCCTCACCATAACCTAGAGATGCAGTTGTGGGGAATCAAGACCTTTTCTTACTTCAG